CCAAAGTTCTCTCCCGATACTCACACTGCATTTCTACATTGCAAACATAGTACTGTTTGAAGATTCATTCACTCATTCATTCATTCGTCCATTATTCATCCTTAAGCCTTTTCTACATGCAAGGCGCTTCCTAGATATTGCTGATACAGATGTGACTAAAACTGCCTGTGTCCAATCTTCTAGAAGTCTATAGACTGTAATGATTGGGTAACCTAACTTAACTGAGATTGTGTTTGTATAAATAAAGCAAACTATTTTTCTTTTGCTATCATACCTCAGTCAACACAGAAAACCTTTGCTGCCTCCCTCTGTGTGTGCATGGATGTGTATGTGTGTACGTTAATATGGACATAATGTGTGTATATTATATGTGTGTATGTGTCCATGTATATGGCAATACAAATGTATACAGGGTCTTTAGGTCATGGAACTCACCAATTCAGCCAGACTACCACACCAGTGAACTGCAGGGATCCCCTGTCTTGAACCCTCACCTAGAACTGGGATTATAAATGTTACTTCTGTACCCAGCTTTTACACGAGTTCTGGGGACCTGAGGGTCTCATGCCTGAACAGCAGGCACTTTGCCCATTGAGCCATCTCGCATCTCCAACACAGAAGACTTCTATGACACTGAAAGATCTAAGGGTTTCTCTTCACCAAAAGCAACCATTTCTACCAATGGGAAACACTAATTTGGTGCCCTCCAACTCAATTGACACTATCTATTTAAAGTGGCCCCCAGCTCCTCCTCTGCACCCCCACTTTAGATGCCAATTGCAAGCTATAGATTCTTTCTCCTGTGCACCTGAGCTATTGGCACAATTTATGATTTCTGCAACCCCCTCAAGTTCAACTAATTTGTTTGAATGGCTCATAGAATTCAGGGCAAACAGTATGTTTATAAAGGGTGTTAGAAGGTGCATAGAGCTTCTGTGTTCACTCTGAGCCAAGAACCTCAAAAGGTTCATTTGTCCTTTGGGGATTGTAATGCTGACAGACTAGATGAAGGAAGCCATTATGGCCTGTCTCGTTGTTCAGTCTTCTTGATCTCTCTGTGTAGCATTCCTTCTAGTTATAGGACAGGTCGCTTTCTGAAATGAGGATAATATCTGCTATTATTTATCTATCATCTACTATCATAAAAAGTAGGTCAGAGAAAGACAGAAGATTTGAGATTCTATGACATGCCTTGAGGCAGGAATTAGGAGTTAGAAACTGAAGAAACTAAATATATGTCTATAGTAATATCACAGGGATTGGCAAAATTTCTTTGGTGAAATAATTTTTTGCCAGAGTCAGAATCTACAAGTGAAGATATAAGAAAGGAAGAGTATTTTAGGCAGAAGTATTGCATGCAAAGAACTAGAATAAAAAAGGGACAGGGTATGAGATCAGAGCATGAGGTAGTATCCCGGTGTGACCTGAGAAGTCATAACGAGTTAAGATGCGCAAACGGTCCAGTAAGTTCCCCTTCAGCATGCCAATAGGGGTGAGTCGTGAGGAGCACTGTGAGCATTTTCCCAAAGAAACAGGAGATGTACAGAAGCATCACGGCCAAGCAAGCAGCCAAGACTATAGTGATGCCTTTGGGAATTTTTAAGCCAAGAAGTAATGTAATCAGATTGTGCAATCCACAGAAGGTGGATTTTTAGGGCTTTTTATCTCTTTTGTTCACTTAGATTTGTCTCATGCACAATAACTGTTGAAAGAATGGATGTCTGTGGACGATATAGTGTTGTGTTATAGTGTAATCATTGCTTAATGACTCTTCATGAGGTTCAGTCCTGAAACACTGACCTTGACAATTTTTTTATATTACTACATATCTTTTTTATAAATATATAACTACAACCTGCTCAGTACATATGTTACTTGTATGTGTGTTGGAATTGAATAACCAATTGGTGTGTTCTTGCCTAGGGAAGGCTCTTTCTCCCACTCAGCATTCCTTAGTGGTCTGTAGCTCTTTGCCCAGGGTTGAGGCTTCATGAGTGTCCGCCAGTGCAGACTTATCTGGAACACCTTAGGTGAGAACAGTGACTGGCAACAGGCTTAGAAGAGCAGGTGATGAATTCCAATCTCGGACAGTGCAGTTGAGTTTTCTTTGAAATGACCACATAGAGACTATAGTGGGCTGTGGATACACACGCAAATGTGTGCTTCAGAAGAGATCTAAATTGAACACATGACTGTGGAGCTCTTGGCTTATGAAATGTCATTGATTCCTAGGAGAAGATAAAAACCTAAATGGGGGGAAAAAGGGGAGACACAATAAGAAGCAGAAAAGATGGCCAAAGACAAAATTCAGGGACAATATTCAAATAATAAACATTTAAGGTGATGACTATAAAGGAAATAATAAGTCATTTACAAAGGAAGGACCTTTCATAATACCATCCAAATACTGCCAGATCAGGTGGCTCTCTATCTGTGCATGCAGCAAATCCTGTCTTGGGCTTCTTAAGTAGAGAACAATACTAAAATCAACATGGAAACTAGTTTAGCACCATGCAGGAAATAAAAGTATATTTCTGGGCTTTTCGGGCCCATATGAATTCTGTATTCTTTGGGCTCCACTGGTAACTAATCTGGCAGCCTCTTAGTAATCTGAATATAAGAAACACTTGGTATTTTTTTAGGTTCTACTCTCTGAGACGGTGAAGTGCAAAGCAGGCACTTTGCCCACTGAGCCATCTCCCATCTCCAATACAGAAGACTTCTATGACACTGAAAGATCTAAGGGTTTCTCTTCACCAAAAGCAACCATTTCTACCAACAGGAAACACTAATTTGGTGCCCTCCAACTCAATTGACACTATCTATTTAAAGTGGCCCCCAGCTCCTGTCCTTAAACTTACAACAGTCCTGCAACAATCTTCTAAGTACCACACTTAGAGACATGAGCCCTGTGCTTGGCTAAGAAACACCTTAAGAACCAAATGTTTAAAATATGACAGGGCTAGGAGTATAGTTCAGGTGCACTGCATCAGCTAACTGTAGTGATATGCACTTAGAATTCCAAAACTTGGGAGGTGGAGGCAGGAGGATGCATGCTTCAAGCCTAGCCTAGGATATACATGAGACACTGCATCAAAAAAAAAAAAAAAAAAAAAAAAAAAAATCACACATAAGGGCTCTCCAGAGAGCTGTCTCCATGGATAAAGGGACTGACTGCTCTTGCAGAGAACAGAGGTTGGTTCCCAGCTCCCACATGTGACTCACAACTGTCTGTTAGTTCTAGGGTGTTGGACCCCTTCAGTCTCCTCCAGCACCAGGCACACATGTGGTGTACACACATACATTCAGGCAAACACTCATACACATAAAAACACATCTTTTCATTTTATACACACACAATATATGCATTAGAAATCATTTTATTCATATCTAATGTGTTTACAGATGATATGTTTAGCCCACCTAATTGCTTGGCCAGTTGACTTTTGACATCAAAGGTACAAATAGAACCAGTTGTGTAGATGAATATGTTAGCTTATGTAGTTCATATAGATCATCTATCTATGTGGAAGTGTCTCCTGACTGATAACATGCTTGCCTTAAAGCTTACCGGTTTTCTATAAGCCGTTGAGAATCCCCAGGCTTCACTGGGAATTACTGAAGGTATTTTGATTAGCTCAATGAAATAAAATTGTAGTCCTGCAGTTTAAAATAAAACTGTAGTTATTTGACAATAGAAGAAAATGGAGTAAAACCTAGTTAAAGCATAAGGTGAACCGCCATGGAAGTGTTCACCCATTGTTTCTCTTCTCAAGTGTGCCCAGGACTAATGGGAGTAGGGTAGTTCCAGCAGCATTTCCAGGCAAGGTGAACTTCATTAAACGCTTTTTCTATCAACCGAACTATAACAAATTCATCTTGTAGACTAAAAAACTGGCTTTGTGTTTTATTGCTATTTATCTTTCTTTAGAGCAGTTTCAAACTTCTACACATATAAACAAACCAGTTATTTGATAAGCAGCTCTAATTTTCTCAGACTTTCACTATTTTATTAGTCAGTGTTTTAGTTAAGGTTAAAGAGAGTTTGTGGCTTCTGGGATCAGAAATTCAACCCTCTTCTAAAACTAAAGGATAAATGAATGAAATGAGTGCTTAAATTGCCCATTTTCAGACCCAGTTTCTGTTTCTAAATGGTACTTAAAGGCTTTACTGACATTCTCACTATTTTGTAGTTACATCATATCAATATTCAACTACTACAAAAGAAAAGAGGGATAATGTTGGAGCCTCTGCTAGATATTCTCACAAGTCTGGCTTTAAAATATACTGCATTACATTTTCCTTCCAAACAACCAGAAGATGTGGGGGAAAAAAAAACATCCTTTCTAGCAGCTGAATAATATACAAATGTCCTTTCTGCTTTTCTTGGAACTCCAGGCATCAGGAGTTGTCTGATAGACCATATATACTTCTAGTTAGTCATTCAGATGAGCAAAAATAAGTTCCCAAGTTCTTCACCAAAGTTAAGCCTAGTGGGGATGATAATTAGTGATAATTCACTGATCAACTTCCCTGTAGTCAATATTATATACTTTTCTTCAGCACAAGGACTCATTGTCCTCTTTAAGTCATTGGTCTAAACAACTGCAGAAAAGAGAAGGCTCTGCTGGCTGAAATCAGGACTTACATTATGTCTGCCTCTAAAGTAATCAGTGCCCTAGATCTCTCCTGACCCTTACTTGCTCCTTATTGGCCCCACACCTTGATCAACAATCTTCCCTCAAGAGTTGGATGTGCTGAATTCACTAGACAGAGCCAAGAAACTGTCCCAGAAACTGGCTGCCTCCAGGGGACTTGAGCTCCTGAAACTTGGAATGCCAGCTTCTGATACTGGCAGCAGGGTTATGTGCTGGGCCAAAATGAGCCCACAGGAGAGCAGGTTTGGATGGGTTACGCATGCTTGGTTTTCCTGTGTTATACATGTCTTGTGCAGATTTCACATCTCTGCTGAATTGTACCTCTCTCTGTGGTTCTCACAGATTCAAAGGATGAATTTTGTGCACATTGAACCAAGTTTTGAAAGCTCCAGGAAGAAGGTCAGCGAACCAGTGACAGTCTTCATCCATAACAGAAAATGAAACTTAGGTGCCTTTGCTACGTATGTTTTGCAAAAACATGTATGAAATGTTGTAACAGAAAAGTAAGCTCTTATCGCCAAAACTGTTTCCTAAAGTTTTTGCTCAACTTTTTCCCACTGGTGAGCAGGACATGGGCTCACTTTGCTGGAAGGAAACAAGAGCACCAGGGCTGCTTTGGGATGGCATTACTTCACGGCTGAGTTAGAGATGAGACACGCTTTGAATTTGCAAAAGAACCACAGCAGTTATTTTGAAAAGAAGTAAGCTGCTGCTCTTAAAGAAAAGGGCTTTTTTTTTTTTTTTTTTTTTTACATAATTGAACTCACCTGGAACCTTGACTGCTGTGAAGTATTATGACTTGTTGGAACCTGTGTGTTGGAACCCTCTGTAGCTGTATTACAACTTGCACGAAGCAGCATAGGATGTGTGTGAAGGTGCTTAGCTGTGACTTACATGTTGAGTTCAGTCACGAGTTGATCAGCAGCATGTGCATGAAGATGCCCTCCCTGTAAAATTTCTCGGTTCTGGCCCCAGGCCCTGTTTTGTTGGCCAATCCCAAATAGCTGACAGGCAACTCAGGAGCCTGGTTCCCTTGTAAGACCTATGTTGAATATTTTCCAAAAATACTTGAGTTTATCTGTCTGTAACTTGCAGGTGATGCTATTTGTCCCCTCCCTATTCTGGAAGAATTTTGATAGGCCTAATGATTGGTGAGATATGAATAATAAATAACTTTAAGGATTGTTTTATGATTTCTGTAATGTTGGATTTAATAATTGAACTTAGGTTGATGGAATAGATGAGTTAAATATCAAATGTGTGTGCTTTCTCTGTGTGTGTTTCACATGCCGTGGTGTGTGTTGGTAATCAGAGGACAGCTTCTGAGAGTTGCTTCTCCCCTTCCTGCGTGTGGGTTCTAGGGATTGAACTTAGGTCATCAGGCTTGGTAGCAAGTGCCTTTATCCTCTGAGCCATTCACCAGGACTGCAAGATATTTTTTTACTCATCATATTTTGCACTTGGTAGTTTTTTCACTGAAATTAGTGTTTCTCCAAGGGAAGGTGTAATGCGGACCCCAGCACCTGGAGGGCTCATCACACAGTATGGCTTAACCGGAACTATTCAAACTATCAGGGTGAGTCCTGTGGAAAAGTCTCACAATTCTATCACAGAAGTTAAGATTCTTTAGCCTTTGACAAAAGAGAACCTGAGGGCCAGATGTACCTTAGTCTGCAGAAGTCTATGTGTTACACAGCAGGGAAGTCAAGGCAGCCTGCCTGTCTAGCGCTGCTCTTTGCTGGACTCTAATCTCTTTCGGGGGACCTACCACTGCATATCAACTGAAGTCTTGAACCGGGCTAAAGCACCAGAGACTATCAGGGAAGAGGGGGATTTTCCCTGCCTGCATGTTGAAGTGGATTTATTTCCCTGCCCTGCCACTAAAAGGAGCAGGAGGGAAAGGTGATTGGATTTATTAGATCCCTGAAAGAAGTGTAGCCTGAGTCACCATGATTTTTCAGAGAATCACATAAAGAGATCTGTACAGTAGAGGGATCAGGGTTATTTTGTATCTCTCCAAGGGCAGATCTGAGACCAAACTGGTGAAAGCGTCAAGAAGTTGGTTTGGAAAAAAAAAAAAAAAGAAGTTGGTTTGGCCGAGAGGAAGGAAAAGCTTTGAGCTCCACAGGCTGTCAGAACTTTGAGATAGGCTCTTAGACGGAGGAGAGGGTCAATTCGAGCTGTGAGCACACAGTAACTTCACTACATCTCTAGGGACTTTTGATTTACAGTGCAAATGAACTATAGAGGGTAATTAGTCGGTCTGGATTTCAGCAAGAACCATTTTGTTTAAAAGGGGAAATCAGTTCAATGTATATTTACGTTTTTCAGAAACTTAGCCTAAAATTGACAGTGATCCTTAAAGTTTAGAACCTAAATTTATCTAGAAACAGTCTGTAGTAATCTGACTTTATCTTTTAATACCCCCTTCCTCAACCCGACAGCTTTATCACTGCAATTGGGTACAGTGTTTTTTTTTTATGCCATGAATGGGGGAGGTAGGAAAGAAGTTGCTGGGCATGTGCCGTTGATAGGCATGCAGGGGAGGAGATCTGTTATCAAGATCTGAGAAACATGAATGTGTGAAATAGCTGATTTTATACAACATTTTTAGCCCATACGTGCAACTAGTAGTAATCAAGGACAGAGGACATTCAATTCCATTCTCTGAAAGATTTTTCTTTTAGCCAGGTGTGGTGGTATACACACCTTTAGTCCAAGCATTCGGAAGGCAGAGGCAGGCAGATGGCTGTGAGTTCAATGCCAACATGGTCTACAAAGTGGGCCCGGGACAGCCAAGGCTACAGAGAAACCCTGTCTCAAAAAACTTTTAAAAAAGCAATTATTTAAAAGAAGTAAAATTTTCATTTCTGTCCTTAGCTGGCAAAAAAATAATAATAAATACAACTGCATAAAAACTCAGAGAAAGGGAAAGGAAGGAGAGGAAAAGTGGGAGAGAGGTGGGGATGGGAGGAGCTGTCAAGAAAACTTAGCGCCTGCCTTGTGTTAGGCTGGCCTTCAGTCACCCTCACCCTGCCTGCTTCCTCAGCACAGTTACAAAGATGAGAAGATGATAGCTTGGAAACTGGGGCACTGTTCAATTATGGGGAAGTTTGACTTCGACTGAGTGGTTTTTCTCTTTTTACAGAAATTAGTCTAGCTAAAAAGAAATAGGTTGGGCTCAGGGTTACCCCAGCCTTTGAAGCCAGGCATCGAAACCACACCTTCGTTTCCCCTCCTGCAGGTCCCTCTGGTGTCTGGGTTCTTTCTCTCTCCAGCTCACATCTGCCAGGAAGAAGCTGGAAATGGTATCAGAGTCAAAACTGCAATGAGATAAGTTCAACCTTCTGTGGTTTTTAAAATTCTAGTAACTTGGGAGTTCATTTTGAATGTAACTCAGAATTATTGATTTATGGTTTCAAAACCAACAGTATGAGATCGTCACTGACTTCCCCAGAATCTTTTTTTTTTTTCTCTCTGTGTGTGCTGGAACTCTCTCTCTGTAGACCAAGCTGGCCTCGAATTCACAGAAATCTGCCTGCCTCTGCCTCCCAAGTGCTAGGCACGTGCCACCGTGCCCAACTCACAGATTGTTATAGTAAAAACAATGGTCAGTTATAATGAACATTATTTAAAGGGAAGTCCCAGGTAATAGTCTAGACTCTCCATATGTCAGAGAATACCAAAGTGTATATTCTTTGGAATGCATTAGTTCCTTTCTGTGATTTATGTATTGAGGTCCTTGCTGAGACATAATATGCAATTTTCAATATCCATAGAAAATAAGAGTATCACTAAGGGTGTTTTTTGTTTGTTTGTTTGTTTGTTTGTTTGTTTGTTTAAAACTTTTTATTTATTTATTTACTTCCTTACATACTTGCTTGGTTATACAATGATAAGGTTAAGTTCCTATCCAGTGAAACATGGGGAGGAAACCTGCTCATACAATATCTACCTGCGTGGATAACATCTCTGAAGGTTTTGCCTTGAGGGAGGCTCACAGGTGCTGGTATTTGGGGTTTTGTTTGTTTGTTTTAGTTTTAGATGGTTGGTATTTTAGTGTTAGAGTGTTTTTTGTTTTGTTTTGTTTTGTTTTTTACATAGGGTCTCTCTACATAGCCCTTGCTGTCCTGGAATTCACTGGCTGGCTTGGAACTCAGATATCTGCCTCTGGAGTGTTGGGATTAAAGGCGTGTGCCTTCTTGCAGGAGATAGTGGCTTACAGGTTCCCCTGGCTCACTGTGTGCAAAATCAGGGAAACTGCCCTGATACCCAGGTGGGAGTTTCGTGGAAGACCTTCTCAAAAGGTAACACTGGGGAAATTTTGGCCAGCAGTTCTGAAAACAGGCTGACCATTCAGGCTCAAAATTTTTCTGTCATAATTCCATGATATCCTTCAGCCTTCAGTTAAGCCTTACTCAGTGTTCTAGTCTGACCTTACTGGTCCCTGGTGTTCAGTACAATCCCTTCTCCCCAAGTGGAAAGGCAAGCTGAATGACAGCCAGAAACATCTAGAAGGCACTGAAGTACATAAGCATTCACTGGGGGTCTCATACTTCCGGGCAGAAATCTAATGTAAAAAATAGCTTTGAGGGGTTATTTGGTTCTTCAACACTTCCAAAGGCTATAGAAGCCTGCTTCCATTAGGATAATTACTAACTGCCTCCAAGATAAACAAGTCAATGTCCCATCTTCCTTTTAGCAAAGTTCTCACGAAAAAGCTTGGGCTATCTGTGCCTGATGGTACACACCTGTAATCCCAGCACTCAGGAGTCTGATGCTGGAGGAATGCAACTTTAAGGCCAGACTGAGCTATAACAGGCAGGGCTTTATCTCAAACACACACACACACACACACACACACACACACACACACACACATGTTGGGGTGGGGGTGGGGCGAAGGGAAGGGAGGAAGGAAGGAAGGAAGGAAGGAAGGAAGGAAGGAAGGAAGGAAGGAAGGAAGGAAGGGAGAAAAAAAAAAAGACAGACATGCCTGGGATACTGAATTCAAACCTGACTTCTTTTTTTTTTTTTTTTTTTTTTTTTTTTTTTTTTTTTTTTTTGTTTATTTTCTTTTTTTCTTCTTTATTAATTACACTCTGACTACTATTTTCTAAACAAGTTATTTTACCTCTTTGACCCTCAGTTTACTTGGTCTAATGAAATATGGATAATAGTGAAGCATGATTCATATCTCTAATGAGGATGAAATGAAGCAAGAAAGTCAAGCAAACTGCCCAGTAAGCATATAGCCAGGGTTCCAGAGATGCTTATGAAATTGTGTGTGTTTGTGTGTGCATGTGTGCGCTTGTGTACATATGTACAAACTTGACCATTCCAGAGGTCTCCGTCAGTCTCTTCTCCATCTTAATGTTTTTGTTTTGTTTTGAGATAGGGTCTCTCAAATACCTGAAACTTGCAAATTTACTTAAGCTGGC